AACCCTGAGGTATCTTAACTGCACTCTCTAACTTGAAGTTTAAACATGTTGAAATTTCGTAAGTTTAGTTGAAATCCGTTCAGAAGGTTTGAAAAACGTAGGGTTACAAACACATAATCTGTTAGACAACACTTTAAGGCAGCCATGATAAGAAATATCTTAACTTTAGATGTGGAGACAAACCATGTTTTTTTCTCTGAAACATCTTTAGGTTTTAATCAAGAAGAAAACTAGATAAAACTCTAACCAAATAATATATACTTATTGTAGTTGTAGTTTTACGTTAAGTTTTTAACCTGCAACACAATGTTCAAATACTTCACATATAACAAGCTTACTGTTTAATTAAATAATTATAGAACATGTAACAGATTCAAAAATAGTTTGTTTATTTTTTCCGGGGAGGGGGGGGTAACTTATAACTCTAGACTTTCAACTAAAACAGAGGAACAAGGGGTAACATTCTCTTTTCCCATAAGTTTATGATGTTTCGAATTTCAGTTGAGTTTCTAGTTGAAAATAATGACTAGCTGTAAACAGATAAAGATTCTAAAAAATAAATTTGGTAGCTGGAGATAAAAAGTCGAAGAGATCAGATAAAATAATCAAGGAAAAAAAGGATGTCGTGTAAGCTGTATTTAGCTGCTTATGTTCACATTAATTTTGCTTTTTTGTTTGTTTGTTTGTTATTTTCACTGCTTTCTATCACATCTTGGACCCCCCCCCGCGTCATAATAGGCCCAAATTGGCATCCTCTACTTTTTGACTAGCTTGACCCATTTCCAGCTTTCACCCTCACCCCACCCTCACACACGTTAATTTTGTTTCCGACTCCTATGTTAAGTAAACAAAATGTTGATATTTGAATTATGACTCCAATATGATGATACTGCTCCCACGCGTTTCGTCCTTCAGTTCCAATATCATGATATAGAAACGCGTGTGATTAAACGTTAGGTGGAAGTTATGCTGCAAGGGTATAAACAACTTAGGGCGTCTCAACCGCTTGTCGCCCAGCGTTCTGAGGTTAAACAAGAAGGATAACGTAGCTCTAGCGTCAACATCAATCGTGATAGTGGAAGACGTGGCTTTGCTTGTTTGTTGAATTTCATGCAAAGATACTCGATGGCTATCTGCGCTATCCGTCCTTAATTTTGAGCTGATAGACTAGAGAGGAGTCAGCTAGCCAACACCCCCTACAGACAAACTCGTGGGCTACTCTCTTACCAGCGAAAAGTTTGATTGAGCATCACATAATAACGTCCCTACGGTGGAAAGGGCGAGCATGGATTCGAACCCGTTACCCGCAGATTACATGTTGAGTGCCCTAACCACCAGCCCATGTCAGACTCAGAAAGTAGTTTAGTAAACTTTTCATCATGTCTTGCTATTCGAACACCTGAAAACGCCAGATTTGTAGCAAGAGAACAAGCGGTCAAAACTCAATGGGTGTTAGTGTAGAAAGTAGCGGTAGATAATCAGTTGACTTAGCTTTATTTTTCATATTCAGTGACTTAGCTTTATTTTTCATTAAATAGTATGTGTGTTGTATGTAGCTTATGCAAATTTTTTGTAGCTTTGTATAATTTTGTTATAGTTCTTTTTCGTTAGTAGCATATCGTAGTTTTATTAATTAGTAGGTTACTGTAATTATTTATAGTTAGCAGGTTGTCGTACTTTTGGTTTACTAGTGGATTGTCGTAGTTTTGTTTAATTAGTAATTTTTTGTAGTTTTGTATAATTAATACTCTTTAATTGTAGATAAGTAGTACATTCTCGTAGTTTAGTTTAGTTACCGTAAATTCACTGTGGTTTTGTTTGGAGTCCATATTTAATAAATATTCTAATTTTATTTAATTGATATGTCAATGCATCATGTTTGTATCAGTTTCTTTTGCTTTGTTTTTAATATAACACAGCTCTATCTGTTTATTATGAAACTATGTATGTTTGTTTTTTAATGTAACAAAGCTCTATCTGTTTATTATGAAACTATGTATGTTTGTTTTTTAGTGTAACAAAGCTCTATCTGTTTATTTTTAGTGTAACAAAGCTCTATCTGTTTATTTTTAGTGTAACAAATTACTATTTGTTTATTATGAAAATGTATATGCTTATTTTTTAGTGTAACAAAGTTGTATTTGTTTATTATGAAACTATGTATGTTTATTTTTTAAGTTTTTATTTTGAGGTTCACTACGGTGAGATAATGTGATTTAATCTTCTTAATGTAGATGTCTAATTGTGAATCATTTGTTTGAAAATTTAGTTCTTATCTAGTTTGTAAGAGTATGAAAAGGGATTACCTTAGTGCTGATGCTGAATTTTCTCTTACTCATAAGAAGGTATGTGTGTTTTTAACTATTTCTCATAATATTTCGAAGTTTGGGAGTTTTTTATACAACTTTTCATGGCCGTATTCTATCTGATCAAGTTTGAGTATTCTGTGTTTGCTTGTTCGAAGTTGCATTAAATAGTACGGGTGAAAAGAATAAAAAGTAATTCACGTTCACAAAATGTGAGTTCTATATGTAGGAAATGTGAGTTTTATATGTAGGAAATGTGAGTTCTATATGTAGGAAATGTGAGTTTTATATGTAGGAAATGTGAGTTTTATATGTAGGAAATGTGAGTTTTTATATCTTGATTACCAGAAACACGTTTCAAACGCTCTGGATTCGTAATGTTGTTCTCGTGTTAAAATCCTACATATAAAACTCACATTTCCTACATATAGTGTGCATTACACAATGTAACTGTACAGTCATGTTTTTTGATAAACGAACGAAACTAGTACCACCCGTATTGTATATGTATGAGAAAAGGGTTTTGCATATTTTATATTATTTATGAACAATACAAGTAATGCTATAAAGTATTGTATTTGCACGAAATTTTATGCATTCTTATTCATTCAGTGGCACGTGTACTAGGAAGATTAAAAAATGTATTCTTAACACCGGACTTTTATGCGCATTTAAGTTTCAACGACATGAAATACTAGGAGGTCACATTTCACGTAGCTAAGTCGACGTTTTAATTGTAAATTCTTGTATATATATGTTTATGAGAGGAAACTTAACATTGAAAATCTATAGCATTTGTACGTGCGTGTACACTAAGATAGTTTTTATTTAAATTATCACGAGTATTACCTGGAAAGGGGTTTAAGTTACATTTTAATTTATAGCTTTAAGTAGTATTATTTGATCTAGGTAAGACGCTGTTGTTATACTTCTCTGTATGTGTTAATTAACGGGCCGTTTATCAATATGCTGTTGAGTTAGATACGCTGTTAAAATAATAAATAATACACAAAGTTAAAATGAGTACGCAATTAAAAATATTTTTGATTAAGGCCAATCTATGGCCTCCAAAAACTTTGACTCTTACGTGTTACAACATCATCATCAGGAGTGAATTGCAAGACATGATAGTGTCATATTCATACCTTTTTAACTGAGTCATGTAACCTGTTTACTGGTTTACTCTGCATTTTATCTATGGAAAATTATATGATCTCTATATAAATACAGCCTCTCTTCCTCTGTGAAAAGCAATACAGATTATCATTATTTCTTTGTACAATGTAAAGCAACTGCTGTTTTCCTTACATGTAATGACTGGTACACTCAAAGCGGGTATCCAGTCAAGCTGATAAATATAGTGCTGTTGTATATAGCACACTAGCTTCGTATGCGTATGGTGCGTCAAAACCTAATTCAACGAATTTTTCTAGAACATGCAACATCATCCAAGCACATATTCTTATAATCCTTAATTGTGCTATGCGTTGCATCTGTGGCAAATTGTAGCCAATCGTTATTTGTGGATATTCACTCAGGGATGGAAGTATAAGAAAATAAAAGGGATTATTCACATTAACACGACAACTGATAGGAAGAGTAACATTGCATTTTAGTAATCGTTGTTTTTCAATATATTCTTCTTCTAACTCACCTATGCAGTTTTGATTTATATACGTTGAGGAGTATTTTTAGGATTTTAATTTATACTCCAATTTTCGTTTAAGTTAATGGGTTAGTAGTTTCAGAAGGTTTTATCAGTCCATTCTTCACTTGAGTTATTTGAGCAGTATATTAAGGCGTTGCTTTACAGTCCCATTTTCTCTGAATTATTGACCAAGTAGTTTGGGCATTGCTTTACGGTCCGGTTTTCTTTTGAGTTTTCTGTTGAATTTGGGAACTGATTTACAGCACACGTTTTCTGTTATTTGTCTTCACAGTAAATTTGAGCGGTTCTTTACAGTACACGCGTTTTCTGCAATTTGTCTGCATCGTAGATGTGAGTGGTTCTTTACAGTACACGCGTTTTCTGTGATTTGTCTGCAGAACATCTATAGATTTGAGCGTTTCTTTACAGTACACGCGTTTTCTGCAATTTGTTTGCATCGTAGATGTGAGTGGTTCTTTACAGTACACGCGTTTTCTGTGATTTGTCTGCAGAACATCTATAGATTTGAGCGTTTCTTTACAGTACACGCGTTTTCTGCAATTTGTTTGCATCGTAGATGTGAGTGGTTCTTTACAGTACACGCGTTTTCTGTGAATTGTCTGCAGAACATCTATAGATTTGAGCGTTTCTTTACAGTACAAGCGTTTTTTTGTGTGTGATTTGTCTGCACAGTAGGTTCGATTGTTTTTTATACTTTAGTTTTATTATCACTTCTGTGGCCAAACAGTTGGTCTAAAATTAGACAATATTTGATAAGGGCGTTTGTTAAATACCCGCTAAGAGAAGAACTGTAATGTTACTAATGTACTATGGGCTTAATATTCGGGCTATAGAGTGATCGTTACTGTGTATGTCAGAATAAAAAATATCTGGTTAGCTATTTATATATATCAGTCTATCATTAATAGATTATGATAAACTGTGATAAAAACTGATAAATAAACTGTGGTTAAAAGCTGTGAGTCAGATAAATAGACCATGATAAACTGTGGTTAAACTTACAGACTTTCTTTTCTCTTTTCCAGAATTTACAAAACATCAGCACTGTGCTGTTTATCTGAACTCTTTGTCATCCAAACCATCCGATTTAATTACGAAAAGAAATACGTCGGAGAAAATATTTTCTGGAGGACTTCGGTCACACGTGCAAACCACGAGCACGGACCCGAGAACAAGGGTTAACCCAAATATGGGTGTTTCAGAAAAGTCGGAGAGCCGATGTATAAGCGAAAGAGCTGGTACTGTGGAAGGCTCGCCAAGTGAATCAACGCTGTCGATGGCGAGGTTGGTTGGAGAGGCGTCGCCCTTGCCGGCAACAAAGGGCAGCCCTACCTTAACAGACGACGCCAACTCCAGGGCAGTAGAGTTAGCACCTACATCTAATAACCCAGACATATCCTGCTATCAAGACTCAGATGAACACGAAGATAAAGAGGAGCAGGCTGGAAATTACATGAACACAAATCAAGACCCAGAAACAGTTGAATGTGAAGACTTTCCTAAACGCAAACAGAGACGGTATCGTACTACATTCACAAGCTTTCAACTGGAGGAACTGGAGAAAGCTTTCTCACGTACACATTATCCTGATGTTTTTACAAGGTAATTTAGATCTTAGTTATACAGCACCAAGATTTCATCTTGAGCTTTCGTGTATGTCTTAGCTACTTTTGAAGGTATACCACTTTCATATTAGGCGATCACAACTTGTAGGATTCTTAATGGATTAATGGGTTCGCTCGATGCGTTGAAATAAAAAATATGTTAACGAATGTATTAAAATATTTTCTGAAAAATCTTTATGAAGAGTTTGCATCTAAAAATATTCTGTTTTTATAGCAGTGAACATTAGATCATGACTTCTTGATCTGAATTTTTCTAAAATTTATTTCACCAGAAAAGTAAAAGTAATCTAACTATACAAAAACTAACAAAAAAAAATATTCATGAATACAACAGATTCTTGCTCTCAACTGATTTGTTTGTTTGTTTTTGAATTTCGCGCAAATCTACACGAGGGCTGTATACGCTAGACGTCCCTAATTTAGCAGTGTAAGACTAGAGGGAAAGCAGCTAGTCATCACCACCCACCGCCAACTCTTTTACCAAGGGATAGTGGGTTTGACCGTCACATGTTTGGTGGGACGCGAATTCGAACTCGATACCCTCAGATTGCGAGTCGAGCTCCCTAACCACTTGGCCATGCCGGGCCCTCCCAACTGAAAACTTTATTTTGTACTTTCCAAATATTGCATAGATTTGTGTAAAGTTAGAAATTTATCACGAGAAGCAAACAAAGCTTCATAAATTTATATTTTTAAGAACCGTTACTCCTCAAATATCTGAGGATCAATAAACATTTATTTTAATTACCTTATTCTAGAATTTCATTTTCATGTATCAAATACTAAAACGTACAACTGAATAATTTGTTCCAAACAGTTGGAAATTGTTTGTTTTAGCGCAAAGTTACTTAATAAGTTTGATGCGTTCTGTTTGCTGGGAATCGAACTAGCCTTGCAAGTCCGTCTACTTACCTCTCACCCACTGGGGGACATTCCGGACAAAAGTCGTTGACTATGTCTTTTGTTCGTGTGTCATATTACAATACAGAACCTCACCAACATTCACTCTACTTAAACAAGCATAAAACTGTTCAAAATCTGCTCTATATTTGTTTCCTTGTTATAATTACGTTTAGCCTGGTTTCGAAAAGTGTTTATTTTAAAAGTGTTATTGTTTTTTGAGTTAAATAATGTAGTTCGATATACACCGACTGGCCACCATATTCAGTGCACCTAATATTCGGGATGGGCTACCTTTCAGCAAGACGGTAGTCGGCACTCCATGTGGCACAGGTTCCACCAGATACCGTCAAGTTTAATGTTCGATTATGGTCTACTCGTTGAAAAGCAATTGATTCGCTGAGATGTCGAACGCGACGTTCAATCTCATTCCAAAGATGCTCAATTGAATTGATCCGTGACTGTGTTGGCCACAAATGATGACCGAAGTCAACTGCATGCTTTTTAAAAGAATTTTGGAGAAATATGATTATTACACTAGTGTCTTGTGAAACCGTTTTTGTTGTAATAGAAATACAGTATTGTGGGGACGTATGGTCGATAACAAAGGTACATTCTAGATGCGTTTGAACTTCAAATAGAATCGGCGGACCCATCCCCTGCCACAAGTCCTTTTTCTACCCCTTAATTCCAATTCCAGATATTTATGGCGCTCAAATCATTCATTACCCAGAATTTACGCCCTTAACACCACTGTTTATTTGTTTGTTATGGATTTCGCGCCAAGCTACACAAGGGCTATCTGCGCTAGCCGTCCCTAATTTAGCAGTGTAAGACTAGAGTCATCACCACCCACCGCCAACTTTTGGGCTACTCTTTTACCAACGAATAGTGGGATTGACCGTCACATTATAACGCCCCCACGGCTGAAAGGGCGATGATGTTTGGTGTGATGGGGATTTGAACCCGCGACCCTAACCACCTGGCCATGTCGGGCCAATAACACTACTGAAGCTGTGCATTCTTCTTTGTACCTGAAATAAGCGGTCCTCGGACTGTCTGTCGATTTCCATATAATGGTTTTTGTAACGCCCTTCTCATGGTAAGATTGGACATACTCGAAATCTGACCATTGTTGAAGTCGATTGGGTCACGATCTGTTGTGTTTGTACCTTACAGGTGTATCAGGTTGTTTACCCTCGGTCAGCTTTAAAAGGTTGAAATCACAGTTTTTCGAAGTGTGAAATTTATTTCTTTACGATCGTTAACGCCAAAGAAAATAGTTTGATAAAGAAGATCCCTTTGAAAATCAAAGAGGACCTTTTCTGTCTCATTGCGTTGTAGACTATCCTTGATATAACAACATATGACCGAAGCAAACACCTGCAACATGTGCTCTTGGAACTACTCTTTCAGCTGATGCCGATGATCAGGCACTATTAGTCGACACCTTAACATTCACGTGTATTCAGACTCATCTTAGACCACACAACTTGACAAACTCTCCACAGACCCTCCACTCTATTTAGATATCGTAACGTAGAGACCCATCTTAGACCACACAACTTGACAAACTCTCCACAGACCCTCCACTCTATTTAGATATCACTGTAACGTAGAGACCCATCTTAGAACACACAACTTGACAAACTCTCCACAGACCCTCCACTCTATTTAGATATCACTGTAACGTAGAAATCCATCTTAGACCACAAAACTTTACAAACTCTCCATAGACCCTCCACTGTATTTACATATTGGCTTCCAAGACCAACCATTTAAACAGAAGTGCTAAAGTCCACTGGAGTTGTCTCATGGCATTTGCGTGATATCGATGGCTGTGATCCCAGATTTTTTTTCTTCTTCTTTCACGCTTCTCATGAAAACAGCAGTTAATTTCGAGCTGTAGTTTGAACCTTGTGAATGTTTGGCCTGAGAGCCTTTGCGAGAGGGTTATCCTCCGTTATCGTAGCATTAACTCTGTGGGTAAGAATATTGTTCCGGATTGAGTTGGGGTGTGATTTAAGAGCTCATTGCTATTCTTAGTACTTTACTGTGAAGAGGTTTTCGCTTCCGAGGAGAATATTGAAGATTCTCTTCTTTGAAATAAGGTGTCCTTTGGATCCACATCGTTTTAACACTTTTACTATATGAACACCATTCCTCAGAAAAGCTGTGCCATAGTGCTACAGCCATAAGATAATTCGTGGTGGCATTGCATTGTCGAATCATCAAAACTTTTTCGTGAACCAAAAATATCGGTCCTAAACATATCGCCAATGACGCTATAGCTTGCATATCGCTCTTATAATGTACGAGTAGCCTTACATGTGATAAAAGTATATTTTTTAAAAATCCAGAGCCCGTTATTAATCTGGATAAGAAACAAAATTTAAATATATATACATGTTTCTTCTTTTTATATTCGGCAATTTTGTTAGTGACTAAACACTTATTCGCTCGTTGCTCCAAAACATGGTTGTTCTTATTTACTATGGTTGAAATAAAGCAGATTATTTTCAAGTGGCTTTAAACAAGCAAGACTCGCGCAGGGATATACATATTTTTTATTATAATGTAGACATCCGCACTTAACATATATAGGTCCTACATATTTCACTTTACTTCAGTAACCATTACATTCGAACGAGCTTCCCACTCACATTAAAGATATTTTTTATCATTTGTTTGCTTCGTGTTGCTTTTGTCATATTAGTCAAACAATTGCTCTGTTATAACAGGTAGTTGAAGAAGAAAGACCCACAGCTATAAACCTGGTTACATATTTTTATTTTTGACTGCATTAAAGGCCATTAGTTGGGAAAAGTGGAGAGTTACTGGTCTTAATATGGGTTTGAAGACGTTAAAATCATAAATTAATAAGGTGTCTGGATAATAATACCCTCAAACGGTATTCATAATAATAATAGGTTGGTATAAGACAAACGAAGCGTTGGCCTGCTGTTGCATGGTTTACGCCGATGTAGTTTTGGGCTAGGCGGGACCACCCGAATAGAGACCGACAATCAAAGGCTCTAGATGGACACAGTTCTGAAGATTCATGACAGCTGAGCAGTAACAGAAACACCTATAGCCTACCTTAAAGCTATTCTATAAAATGTCCTTTAGATGTTGATCATATCTCAAAACTGTTGAATGCTAAAATAACAGATGTGTCTGGAAGACTCTTTTCAAGCTCATTTTCATAAGGGGTGCACAAGACTCAGTTTACCATTAACTGATAAAAGAAACTAAATTCTAGCGTTCACTTTTAAATATTCTGCACCATTTGCTCGTATTGTACTGACGAAGAACATTCAGTCACGTTGTAATATAAACTTCCAGTATGTTGCCTCTTATTCATAATTAAGACTATTTCTTATGTACTGGAATTATTATTGTAAAATTTAAGGAGCTCTTCTTGTAGAAGTTATATAATTAACTAACGCATTGTTACGTGTTAATAATGAGGCTAATAAGAGGTGAAACTTAACTCAGGTTTAACAATAAGTTTATTATATATATAAAGATTTTTGTTATTACTTTTAGACCTTACTTTAAAGCATTGGTATAACATTACCTCCACTTATTTATATGTGATTAATGAGGGTACACTAACTTATTAAAAGTGAAATTGTAACTTTCTTCAGACCAATCCCACGTTATGATTATATCAGCAACTGCAACTGTACATTGTTAAGCCTCGTCAGAGTTTATTTCCTATTACCTTGTTTTAGTTTCTATAAACACAATGATACAAATAAAAAATACGAACTTTTATTAACATTCATTGACAAATATTTGAAATTAAAACTTATAGTAATGTTCTAAACTAGTTTTTTCTATATTTCTTTTGTCATACTAATTGTTTTGCGTGCATATGTATACGTGAAATAATGAAGAACACAATGATTCGTGGTAATACAAATTATTGTATTTATTTTTATTTCCTTCATCAGCGTTAATTCCTATTTTATTCTATCTCTTTAAATGTCACTTGTTCATCTACTCTTTCAGCGCTATAAAAACAGTCTGAACTCCAAAAACAAGAACGGATTTTTCTTTATCAATAAGCCTAACATTTATAATAAAACTCAAGAAAGCTGCAAACGTTTTTTTCTTTCTTTCACATTTCTCTTAATATTTCCACTTTGGATTTGAAATCAAAAGGCGTGTGAAAATCTGAAAGGAATGTGGAACAAAATCTGCAGTTTATCTGCTTATTTCCAATGTTTCAACAGCGTTCAGTGTTTAAATACAACTTGATTTTTTTAGTGTTTTTCACTTATACTTTCTTCGGGTTTGAACGAAAGCCTACAATCACTAAGCAATCTGGACCGTATACAGAAACTACTATGCAAATGAGAATGTTATAAAAGCACAACTGTACATAATACAAATTACTTCGTTCTATTCACGCATACATCATTATTTTAACCTATATAGGCAAATAGAACATTGAATGATGCTTTAAAATAAATTTTGGAAAAACAAGTAGGAAAGGGAAAATAATTACATATAAGTATAGTTATCAACGCAGGATACGTGTGAGTTGTATTTTACTGAGGAAAATATAATTATCTTCTAAGTTATCAGTTACAGTCGTCAGTTCAGGGTACAGCATAGAAATTCCTTTTTCTATATATACTTGGTATACTTCGGCATTGACTTATTGTAGCCATATTATCCTACAATCACGATAATGTTATCTAGTATAGCAATATAATCCTGAGCCTAAAATTACAGTAATTGTACTTTCAATTGGTTTCAAAGTAAATTCGTAAAACTTCGTTAGCATTTAGTGTCACCTGGTGTATCACTGTTGCCACAGTAATGCCACCTTCAAGTGATGTAATAGTAGGATCCTAACATAAGAAAGAAGACTCAAGAAATACACAAAAACAGCTAGGGAAGGAGACTCAAAACGTTGTTAAATGTTTACGTTAGTTACCATACAACAAGATATTATTAACTAGAATTTCAGGCATCAGTTCCGAGTAGTGTTAACATGTGTGGAAGACAGTGCGTTTTAATAGTAATAAGCAGTGCTTTCGTCGTTTTGAAATGAGGTGACGTTGTATCAGGTCGTAGTTTATTAGTCAATCGTAAATAGTGCTGCCATCTAAGATTTGTCCCTCTTCATCAGTTTAGAGTTTTGTTAGAATGTTTGTGTGACATTCTGTTTGGACAACAGGAAGCAATAATGCCGTCGTTTTAAGACTAAATTTTTTACACCAGCTCATAGTGTGAAGGCCAGTAACTGTTTTGGAAAACGGAAATTAAAGTACGACACGTTTAGCTAGTACGTAAGCCCGTATTTTCCACGGGCAATTACACTCCATCTGCTTCTTCTGCTTTTAATATAAGTCTTTCAGTACGACTACGAACAGGCAAGTTTGTAAAATCTAATGGGTAGCTAAAAGGGTATGGGACTATTCTTTCCGAAGAGATATTTGTATACATTATTAAGAATAGTCTTCACAGCAGAGCGTTAGGGAAGGAAAAGGGCACTGAAATTATATCCCCTGCTAGTCAGGAGCATGTTAATCTCATTCCCAAATTAGCATTTACAAAAAAAAAAAGACTAATGGGTTAAAGTGGAGGCAGTTAGTAAAACGCACTCACCACCAACTCTTCGTCTTCCCTTGTCAGATCGAATAGTGGGATTTGATCGCCACTGCTATGTTGTGGTAATGGGACACGAATGCTGGACCTGCAGTTTCATAGTCCGACACGCTAACCACTGGGCCACATAGTTATAGAACCACCCTGAAGTTTCTAAGGAAATGAGAAAAACCCTATAACTCGAGCGCTTTCGAAAGGTGGACATTTCTTCTTCAGGGGCAGACTGACGTTTCTAAGGAAATGGCAGTTAAAATACGTGCGTTTTCGTAATCTGTAAGTAACCTTCTGCACTTTGTTATTATTATAAATCAACCTCTGACACCAGTGCAAGTAATCTCCGTCATTTTAACATTCGTTCTTTACATTAGTTTAAAACAGTGCATCATACTTGTAACTCAACTTAGTCGATGTATGGATGCTTTACAAGTATTTTATGTCTCCGCAGAGAGTCATACTGTTTTTCTTCTCCTTCTTCCAAACACTTTTCAGTCGACCGCCATTCCTTCATTTCTTGGCGGATTGACTTGAAACTTGGTAGGGTTATACCTTAGTCCAATATTCTCAGACTCGTTGTTCTTTTTTTCTTTTTGTTAGTCCTTTTTTTAAAGGATTTTATAGTGTAAAAGGTGAAACAACCCAAAATATATATTTTGGGCTGCTGTGCGGTCATATTTACAGCAATCAAGATAAATCAATATATACATTTTCATGCGCCCAACACATTCACTCAAAACACAAAATTGGATTTTCCCACTTTTAGTCATTTTAGAAAAGTCAAAGCACACAAAAAAGCACGATTTTGTGGTTTTCGGTCCATTACTCAGCCATATTTTGACCAATTTACATGAGATTTGGTACAAATATATCTTCTCGCAGGTATCATCAAACAGTGATATAGATACTTTTCAATTTTTATTTTGTTTTTTACGATTTTTCTGGTATAAAAATTGGCCATGTTGAGATTGCGTGGCGGAGACATGTTGATCTCTTTCATTCGGTATGTATTCGTGTGTGAATGTTTAATCTTAAGAAATTGTGTAGAATAAAGTATCTTTTTCCAGTATCTCATAAAACACCTTGGAATTCACTTCATAATTTTTTCGCCTTTACATAAGAGAACCTCCAAGTTGTCAATTTTCAATACAATATAACTACCCGGAAGATAAATCCCCGTTTCTCATGTGATATAACTGCCCGGAAGACAAATCTTCGTTTCTCATGTAATATAACTGCCCGGAAGACAAATCTTCGTTTCTCATGTGGGTCTCTCATGGTAAAGCTACTCAGTTAATATGAGGCTTGGACTCCTGCTGAGCTGTAAAGACATTTCTCTTCATAAATACGTGTTCGTGGAACAGGTTATTAAGTCATCAACTGTGACAAAAACAAACAAAGAATATAGGCAGAAGTGTTCTTCTCTTTCTTCCTTGAGAACTTTGGAAAGAGGGTCCGTTTCTGTTCAAGTGAAACGACTTCCTTTGAAAACTGATAACTACATTAAAAGTAACAAAATGTTGATAAATATATGTTAAAAAATGACTGCACTGAGAACAGGTGTGATTAAAAAATTAATGATAGACCGTTGCCCGTTACGGTGACTGAAGAAGTTAAACATATAACTGTGATGTTCTTAGTTGTAGAAGAAGTGTGTTTGTTTGTTTGTTTGAAGTTAAGCACAAAGCTACTTAGAGGCTATCTATGCTCTGCACTCGAAGGGTATCGAAACCCGGATTCTAGCGTTGTAAGTCCGCATACATATCGCTGTGCCACTGGGGGGGGGGGGGAGAGGAAGTGTGATGGCAGTGTCTCAAGTTATATTCAATGTGTATGCACTGAAGTTTAATTTTCGGTTCCATCAGATATACTTGATAAATCATTAAATGATAGGTCTTACTTATTGGTAAGTTCTCTTAGAGTCATAGAAAGTTCGTCTTTGTTGTTAAAATAGAAGAACATTAATATTGACATAAGAATTGTGGATTTACCCATGATTAAAAAAGATGAAGATCAAAATCTTATTCGATTTTTGAAGAGCTCAAAAAGTATCACACAAAAATAATTCTATAGCTATAATAGGAACAAAATTTTGTGATTGCACTCTATTTACAACGTCATATTTTCGGTTGTGGTATTTAATGATGGGTATTTGACAACGTCATAGAATTGTCTCCTCTGCTAGCTGTTCTCTAGCATTTCTTGAGTAGACATAGCTGTGTGTAAAATAATTTCCTGGAAACGTGCTATCAAGAAATTCAGCTTTTGTAATAAGCAAGAGTAGGCTATTAACACTAAATACCTTGTCCCCTGGTGGAGCAGCGCTAAGTCTAAGAACTTACAACGCTAAAATTTCTCGGATCGATTCCCTGAGCTGGACACAGGACATTGTGATTTTACTTTAAAACAAACAGACAAAACTAAGTAGATTTATTACTTCACGGGAGAGTGATTTATCTCACAATCGAAGTAAATTTTAAAAACTCGTTATTTCCACATATTTCACTCGTGAAGAATGACTGAATCTAAAACGAGTGCTATTTTTTTATTAACTTTAATAATTTACTGTGTTAAATTTAATTTAATATGAACAGTTTTGCATCTCAATAAAACAGTTGAGAAAGTTGGTTGTCTTTAATCTAAAAGATGTGATATGTAAGTCTATTAATATGCTGGTTGTATGTTTAATAACATATATAAAATGTATAAACTGTTTCGGCTCTGTAATGACTATTCCATTTTTTTCTCTAGAGAAGAACTTGCCACGAGAGTAGACTTAACAGAAGCAAGAGTGCAAGTAAGTTATTATCTAATATTTTATGTAAGTATTTAGTTTTTACTCTGATGTTATCAGTGTGTATAATATACAAGAAGACGTTTAGGACAGATATCCGCAACTACCTACAAGGACTCCTAAACATGTCAAATGGGAACATATCTTGAAACATACACCTATCAAGGGAAGAAAAACAAATCCTTTCAAAAGAATACATCTGTCAGGTAAACAATGTGTTACGGAACAATACATAAGCTTTGAAACTATATTTGTCGTTCAAAAACACTTTCCAGAACTATACACTTTTTGAGCAGGAATACGGTTCGAAGCTATACATCTATGAAACAAACAAAAGGTTTGGAATTATACACCTATTGAGTAAGAACACCCTTTGGAACTAAGCGTCTATATTGATTAAGAATAGGCTTCAAAACTATAAACCTAACTAGTAAACGTAGCTTTTTTGAAAATTATACATCAATCAAATAAACAATATACTTCAAAACTATTTATTTATTTTGTAAGATCACGCTTCCAAACAATACACATCGAATAATAAAACGTTTTGGAACTATAAACATCGAGAAAAGCATGCTTCGAAAGTTTACACCTAACTAAGTAACAACACTTGGATATATATGTATCACGCCAGAAAGAACACTAGGGTATATATATATCTCGAGTTATAATACTGTATAGGACATATACATATATCAAGTAATAACACCAGGATATACACATATATCAAATAAGAATATATTGATTAGGGCTATGTGCATATATTAGATAGTAGTCGGTATCGAACTTTCATACTTCACAGTTAAAATTTAATTGTTTCAATATAATGGTTCTTTCATTGTGTGTTTTAAAGCCACTGCCGCTTTTCTGTCGAAGTGTTTAAACAATTACGATGTTATTCAATGAATCCTATTCACAAAACGCTTAAAATGGCAAGGGTTTTTTTTAAATATATCCCATGATGCCTCAAATTAACAACACCTTTCTCAACCTTGCATCCGTGGCCTTAAAACAAAGCTGTAGAAAAGAATGTTATTTCTTTTTATTCATTATCTGTATCATTAACCCCTTTGTCTGTGGGGAGGTGGGGAGGAGGTGATAAATTTGCACGAACAACACCCCATAGTTTTATATATATGATACTCAAAACATTGTCGAAGTATTGTTAACATGAGAGACAAAAAAAATTTTGTTGCTAAAATTGGTAACCAACTGTGTAATTATTTTACTGGTATATTATTTTTTTTTAATTATGATTAAACGGTTATTTTAATGTATTTCCCTATCTCGCTGCATTGATATTTATTGACCATTATCTATATGCTAAAAAAACAAATAAACAAGGAAATATGCTGATTAATGATCGAAAATGCGAAGTTACATGTACCTGGTCAAATACCGCTGCATATTAAAATTAGCCTCTTAGTTGTTATAAAAACCACAAACTACTTTGGTGTTCTATTGTAACTGACTTTTAAGATACGAAAAGGAACATTTTCTTGTGTGGTTTGTAAGGAGTTCTACTAACAACGGTATACAAAACATTTTCTTTAGTCATTTGTAAACAGTTGTAATAATAGAGGTATATAGAATATTTTCTTGGGTTAATTGTAAACGCTTGTACTAACAATGGTATGCAGAACATTTTATTTAATTAATTGTAAACACTTGTACTAACAGTGGCATACGGAATATTTTCTTACGTCAGTTGCAAACCCTTGTATTAACAGTGGTATACCGTATATTTTATTGGGTGAATTGTAAACATTTGTCCTAACAGTAATATAAATAAGATATTACGAAGCTTGGATTTTTTTCCGAAATGAACGCCAAATTTAATAACGTAGTCGTCTCACGCAATTAAGTCAATATGTTTGCCATATATTTCCTACAAGCATGCTATTTAATTAGCTGCACGGTTCCATTTCTCAAAAAAAAGTATCTGAACCTATCCGTAAAATCTTATGTATTACTAGACCCCTGAACGTCCGCAAGTATATGCTCCCTCCAAATTAAATTTCCCATGTAAGCGCTGTATTAAATAAAATAGCAAAGTGAACGTTCTATGGTGTTTCAACAACAAAATTTAAACTTCAAATCATTGTAAATATATCTCCAGAAGACCCCAAAAAAGTTACAAAAATAGCTTAAGTCGAGTGCTATAAATTCACTTTTCGTAATAAATTACAATATGAAATAAATAATGCAAGCTAGAAAAAAAAACTTAAACAAGCAAGTAATAGCCACAACACATTTATAGCTTAAATGTATATTAAAACTTCGACAACCAAAATAGAACATTTGTTAAAGACAGAATTAGCCGTTTTGTAAAATTGAGCTACTTTATAAATATAAATTATAAACGTTTAGAAATAGAGAAACCAAGGACAGGGTTAAAATAAAATCTTTAAAAGAAGAAATAGGAACGTATTGAAAATATAAAAAAACAATTCTCGAGAAGAGATGTTTTGTAGCACCACAGTTTTCGTTAATATCAAAATAAAATATATTTTTTCTTATAAATACTTTTTATATTTTGGTGCATCAAATATTTGGTTGAAAATAGTAATAATTGGTGTTCCCAATTTAGACATTGTTTTGGTTGCTCGGTAAATGATTCCAAATAACGTAGAGTTATTTTTTACCTTAACACTTTAGCAGCCTGTAATCTGATCATAATTAACAATAAATAAAGCCATCATCGTGTCGTTCAAAAACGCTCCAGTGTTTTTGGTTTCATGAAAATTATTACAAGTTATCATCTAAATCACCTTTTACCGAATAAAAGAGATAAAATATATGTTAATGACTTAAAACAAAACACTTGACAAACACTAATGTGTTTACCAAAGCATAACGAATAGTAATGAAGGTTTATAGTGAAATATGGGTATTCCTATCTGTTCTAATGTTAAAATGTACAAACAAACGCGGATAAAGAGGGTTTTCTCTTTCAACTTTTGTTTTCAATTGCCAGATGAGAGCGGGGAATTTATAATTTATTTTCAACTTAATGTTTAAAGTAAGGAGTGAAACTTGGCTATCATGCACTGCATACTGTTTTGTTTCTTAATCGTATTTGTACCCGCGTACAGTTCAAAGAGCCAAAGAGGAGATTACAGACAACGTTATGGCACAGTATGTCATTTCATGCTGCTAAGACCAAGCGTTGAATCGTTTAACATGCCCTATCAACTCATGGTAAGAATACTATCCGCCCCAGGAGTTAGCATGCAAGAGTAAATCAGTGACTACAAAACATCCGACTTTCTGGCGCCAAGCCTTAAGACCAGGTTTTGGAATAACTTTTCTCTACCATTGTTTCGCATGATCGATAAGAAACTCTGAGAGAAACTATCTCCAAGTTTTATGTTATAAACCTTTAGTGCTAAAAATGCGGAACAACATTTTCAAATGTTTCGATTATTGCATCAGCTTTGTAAAACAAAACGCAATCTCAAGGTACATTTAGTAACTTAAATATATAACCCGTTTTCATCTGTATGTGCATTACAACTGTTTAGGTTCTTTATGTCTCGCCCAAGTTCTCTATTAATTAGTCAGTTATACTCCAGTTAAGTTCTAATATTCCTCATTTTCATAAATTTTGAGTTATCTTTATTTAAATTGACTGATACTGAATAAGTTGTAAAGGTTTGTTTGTTTGTTTGTTTTTGAATTTTGCGCAAAGCTACACGAGGGCTATCTGCGCTAGCCGTCCCTAATTTAGCAGTGTAAGACTAGAGAGAAGGCAGCTAGTCATCACCACCCACCGCCAACTATTGGGCTACTCTTTTACCAACGAATAGTGGGATTGACCGTCACTTTATAACGCCCCCACGGCTGAAAGGGCGAGCATGTTTGGTGTGACGGGGATTCGAACCCGCGACCCTCAGATTGCGAGTCGAGTGCCTTAACCACCTGGCCATGCCGGGCCAAGTTGTAAAGGATTGAAAACTTTATGACACAATTAGAAATATGTAATACACATATCTGAGTAAATATTCACTGTGAATGCATTATATACAATTAAATATAATATGCAGTGTAATAAAAAAGATAAGATATTGAGAGTAAATAGGCACAACCAGCGAGTAGTAAATATATTAGAATAAACAGACACACAATATAAATAATAAATATCTAATAACGAATAGGCAGAATAGGCAAGTAGTTAAAATATAATAATAAATAAACACACAAAATAAATACATAATAAACATCTAATAATAAATAGGCAGGAAAAATGAAAAGTAAATAATAATCATGCAAACATGTAAGCTGAATGTCATAGATGTAATTACAGAACAGCCCCTCCCTCACGGTGACTCAGCAGTTAGTCTGAGGGTTTATAACGTTCAAAATCAGGTATCGATACCTGCAGTGCGCAGAGCACAGATAATTATTGTGTAGCTTTGTGCTTAACAAGAAACGTGCAGTACAGATCAAACAGTTTTATGGTAAAACATCGGTTTTATAAGCCGCTTTAACGTATAGGAGTGTTTACATTTTAATGTTAGTGTATAGAAAAAACAAGCAACGAAAAAACAGTAATAAATGTTTGAATGTAATAAATTATTACGATGAAATGAGTGAGAAGGGCATTTTATATATCTGAGTATAGAAAACAGCGGCAGAATTTCAGAAATCGGTGATCTGAGTAGCGCAGCAAATATTGAAGAGAACTGGCACACAAATGTAATAATGTGTGTGTGTAATGAATAACTGTTTGTTTGAATTAGAACACTGTCACATTGGGTTATCTGCTGTGGCCACCGTGGGGAATCGAACCCCGGATTTTACCGTAGTAAGTCCTTAAGCTTACCATTTTCTCAATAGAGGACATAACGAATGATGCATTACAATCCAACAGTAAAGAAATACCTGGAAGCAAATGCGTTAATAAAAAATAACGTGTTAGAATAATTCAAGGAGAAAGTAGAGATAGAGAAATATAAAACCACCTTAGGCTGGTTGGTTGTTTCAGAAATTCGCGCAAAACA